GATTCTTGTTCTCTGAACACAACTTCAAAGCCCCCAGTGTCCATCAGGGAGGCTGGAAAGTAAGAAAGGAACGGCTATCGCAAATCTATCTTCTAGAATGGATAACGGAACAATGTCCTACAAGAATTAATGAAACGTCTCCACATATTACAAATGCCAGAGAAATCTTCTCAGGACTGGGTTAAGAATTCAAATGCATTGTTTATTCCATTCAGACCCCTTCTGGGCTCCCAAAACGAAGGTCTCCCACCTGCAACTCGACCTGCTCCTTCTGCTCCTCTGTCTGACTCAGGAGGAAGCCTTCTGCCAGGGCCACCGCCTGGGAGCTGGTCTCTGGTCCACACTCCCGCACCCAGCTCTGCATCTGCAGGGGCAGAAGGGCCAGGAAGTGGTCCAGAACAACCAGGTCCAGCATCTGCGCTTTTGTGTCCTTTTCTGGTCTCAACCATCGACTACAAAAGTAGTGGAATTCCTTGGGGACCCTCAGCCTCCTGGTGTTGGATGCTCCTGAATTTCTGGGGCTGAATGTCTGAACGGGTGGTTTCCTCCTCCAGGATCTTCTGCCCAGTTCTTGCCCAGATCTCCCCACAGCTCCCAGGCTGAATAGCAGAAGGGCCTTCTCCACTTACCTCACTTGATAAGGGTTGTGTTTCCATTCTTTCTCTGTCCTGTAATGCAACTCCAAAGGGATCCGAGGAATCTTGTGGCTCTCCAAATGCCTTTTCATTCATAGGACTGTTCCTGTAGCCTAGGAATGACCCCAGCTGGCCATTCAGCCCTCTTTGCCCAAGAGAGATGTTTGTCTGTACGCAAGGACCTACAAAAGGCTTCCAGGTTGTGTGTCTGAGATGGAAAAGAAAAGACATTCCAAGAATTAGAAAGTGATTGATTTCACCATTGAACAACACTCATCCCCATGGAGGGCACCACTTTTCTGAGCTAGTAGAAGACTGGGGTGGCATTGAGCAGATAGGAACTGAGGGCCGGGCAGCTGATTGGCATACCTGAATCTTACCTCTTGAGGGTTGCATACTACTAAGCTTCAAGAGGATGATAACAAGTGTTTATTTGTGTGTTTGTGTGTGTTGCAAAATAGGGGATTGACTTCCGTCAAGCACCTGGAATACCCAATAAATGCATCTTGGAGCATTTTCTATTTCTTTTCCTCAGAAGGAAGGGCTGGCTTTTCAAAAACCCATATCTACATTTCCCTACAAGCAGGATTCACACCACATGCTGTAAGGTTCAATAGCCTGGATTCTATGATTTCTAATGAGACTCCAGACAGAGGTTTTTCAAAAGCAAGTACAGCTTTTATTTCTGGCCAGAAGAAAAGCAGGGCGGCAGAAAGTAGACAGGGAACAGCCACACCCAGAACCAGCTTTTATACCTTTTTGTCATCCGGAAGCATCTAGGGGGAGGGCCACACACATGAGTGTGCCCGCCTTCTAAGGTTGGCATAACATTAGCTTAAGCAGCATAAACCAATAGTCAAGTCTCTAGCCCTCACTTGTTCCAGAGGTTCCTCATATAAGGCATTGCTATCTAGCTTGCCCAAATTGTGCAGAGGATGTGGCTGCATAGTGTGGTTAGAAGCAAGAGCAGGTGCAAAAGTTCCTGCATGCTCAGAAAATGTGTCTAGGAGCTGGGAGGGGGAAAGGGCAAGACTGCAGACGTTTCCTCCTTTCAGGACCTCTGATATGAGCAAGCAAGACATTTGGCCTTTAGCTGAACCACATCTTTCCATTTCCTTTTTCAACTCTGCGAACTGTTAAAATGTTCGATGGCTGGTGTGGGTCTTCCGGGCTGTGTGGCCGTGTTCTTGAAGTTTTGTTTCCTAACGTTTCACCAGCACCTGTGGCCGGCATCTTCAGAGTGCAGGAGCACAGACAGGAGCAGCTCAACCACCAGGACATGTGAACAGTTCACACAATGAACTTGCTAATCCCCCCCAGCAGCCCCTCGCTAACAATTCAATAG